TGTATTTTAAATTAATCCCATCTGTGAAAACCCTATGATTCCTTGGGAAATTGTTCTGAAATTTCCACACCCCTTTGGTTGGCACCTCAGGAAGCATCTGCATTCAGCCTGGCATGCTTTCTGGCTACCAGGAGCCAGTGTGTTTGGCAGCCCTGGAGTTTTGTAGCACCCACTACAGCAGTTACAGAAGAAAATTCCAGATTGGAACATAATGGTGGTCACCATTCAGGCAACAAGATTCAGGTGACATGACATCTTTTACTTCTCAGCCAGGCCAATGGCCTTTTCCGGCCACAAAGAACAGGAAGACGTGTCTAAGTTGGATTTGAGAAAAGCATGTTGGTGTCCACAGGTGGGTGGGCATCTGAGGGATGGCAAGGCAATGCTGTGGTGGAGTCAAGGTGGAGCAGGAGGAACGTTCTGGAAGTGAGTCTGTGCCTTCCAGAGTGGACAGAGATTTGGGACATGACAAAAGCAGGATTCACATTCAACCTGCTTTCTGAAAACTTGAGAGCCTGGTTCTCCTCATGGCTATAGTGATTATGATCACAGTTATGAAATCACACAAGGCAAAGCTTCTCACAGCCTTATCAGTTGTACCTGAGTACATTAATGTAAAATATATGTGATAAAATATGATGCTGCATACTAGTCATGCCGAAGTGAAACAGCCAGCCTGTCTACCACTTACCTCATTCATACAGACCTTGATGTGTGAAGTACTTGATGTAAGCAATTTGCATTTCTGTAGGCCTCATGTTACATGTAAGAATTGTTACACTTGTGAATTATATTGCCTGTTCCTACTTAACTGTTCAGAAGTAGATTCAGTATTTATTTTGCAGTTTTTAACTGCCTATGTACATGTATATGTGACATGGATGTGTATATAATACTGAGCATTAGAAGGGTCCAACTAATTATGAATTTTCTCCTTTAAATTAATATTTTTCTTTAGCCTCTGTTGTGTGCATTGTATTTATAGTTGCTTCTTTGAAAACATGCTCAGGTGTGTGTGTTCTTCATCATTTTGCTTTGGGTTTGAGGGTAAATTTTGTAAATCCACTTCACAGAGCTGCCGTTTGTAAGGCAGAGTCACTGTGTTGATGGTGGAAGCAGTGTGGGCGAGAGACAGGACGGCCCCCCAGAAACCCTGGGCCTGAGGCCAGTGCCATGTGCTTGCCTCACCGTCCACCAGCCTTCCCAACCAGCCCTGCTGTCTTTCCTGTCCTCACCTTCCTGAAAAACATAGCAGTGGTGCTGCCCATCTGGCCTCTGGACTGGGCCAGATGAGTGAGTGACTCAGGGCCTGTGGTGTTCTCATTCCCAATTCTGGGAAACCATGTTCTTCTTCATATAGAACAACTGCTGACTACTCCTCAAGTACTCTCTAAGCTTTGCATCTAAACTCTAGCTATACAAAACTGGATTTGTAACTGGAAGGTTGCAAAGAATGGTCTTTTTCTGTCATAAGGCATGCATACAAAATGCAGGTCGTGATTTGCTAACAAGAGGTACTATTATTGTAAAGCCAGGTTGTCCCTAGTTAAATTTCTTTTGGGAAAGGATAACTTTGCAGGAAGAGAAAGGGTTTTCTCACCTGGCTGCAGAAACCTGTCTCTTAAGTTCATGTTGCTGGTTGTGGATACTGTAATGCACTGGCCTGCTTGCCTGTGGGTTCCACCAGTAGAACAAAGGGCTCAGTTATGGCAGGGCGCCTTTTGGTGCTTGAGCTGGTAGGTGAGGACACTTCAGTTTGGGGAGTGACCAGGCCTGGTGGCTTGAGTTGGAGCAGCACCTCAAAAATCTAGAGGCAGGCAGGCCTTCCACAGGAGTTGGCTTCCTGCACCTGCCACCATGCGGGTGGGGTCCAGCCATGTGTGGGGGGTGGGGTGGGGAAGTGAGCCAGAAAGAGGGTCACTGTGGCCCAGAATGCCTGATGACTGGTGATCCAAGCCCTGGGTGGAGGTGGCAACCCTCATGGGGGCCTAGGGCTTCAGCTCCGGGTCTTCCTGGCAGCCTGTCCCCTTGGCAGGCAGTGCAAGGAGCAGAAGCTGCCCTCCTTGGTTTGCAGACATACCCACCCATACCCATCCAGGGCCACGGTGTGGAGCCAGGGTATAAATGGGGGTGCAGGGGTGGGGTGGGTCCAGGAGTTGGGGAGTAGCTGGCCTGTCACGCCCTTCTCTGGGACTCAGTGACGGAGTCTGTGCAGCTGCATCTTCCCTAGCCAACTGCCTAGCTCATGGGGCAGCTGAGTTTTTGTCATGGTGGTGGGGTGGTTTTGAATGTGGCAGCACTTATGCACCATGAGTGCTGGGGGAGGCACAGTAGGAGGAGGCTTCTCAGAGGCAGGGACCAGCTCCACTTGTGCTGGTGCCAAAGAGGGCTTCCCGGAGGAGGAGACCATGTGTGAGCAAGTCTAAACCAAAGGGAGCCAGTCAGCAGGGGTCCTTGCTGGGAGCCAGGCCCGGAAAGCCGGTGTAGGCAGGTGGGCACAGTGACTGGGGGCTGAGCTTTGCAGGTAGGAGCTTCATTGGGTCTGTGAGGTCACAGCAGGCCTGGTGGTTAGTTGGGTGAAGCCGAATGAGTCTGTGACCAGGGCCAGACCCTCAAAGTGTGGCCCAGGGGCCCAGGAGGGGCCACTCCAGGCCCTGGGACCAGATGGCCGCAGGAGACTGGAGAGTTCTAGTGCATGACCTGGCCTGGGAAGGGGACCTGGAGCCCTGTTATCAGATGGGGAGCTCTGACTTAGAACCACCAGGAGACCTGTGACCATCCTAAAGGCCTTTGCCCAGGTGGGGCATGGCTAAGGCAGAGCAGCTGGCAGGTGAGGCTAGAGAGGGGCACACTCACAGGGATCCTGACTTAGCCATGGCTCAGATTCTGAGAAAATCTCCAAATAGTTGAATCAGGTTTTCTGAATATTTGGTGATAGTAAAACTCACAGTCAAATTTTTTATAAAGTCACAAAACCTCTAAGAAAATAGCCGTTCCTCTGTGTGCACCATTTGAGCTGTGCTCTGTGGCAGGACACAGTGAGGTTTCAGATTCAGCAGCAGCAAGAAATGTTTCATTTCCAGGCTAGCCTTGGGCCACCCGCCTGCTGGGGACGCTCTCCTGGAGGGGAAGCTGCAGCCCTGTGCCCAGGGACTGCAGCCCTTCGCACTTGCTTGTCTCCCTGGAGGCCTCCCTGCAGCCCATCAGATGACTCCTTCTTGCCTTCTTTGAAATCCCCAAACCTGGTGGTGCTTTTTCCTGCCTCCCTGCAGTACAGCCTGGTGTGGTGGGGGGTGCCAGGCCGTGCCCCTTTCTTGAGGACAAACCCTTATGATTTCTGACCCTCTTGATCCTTTCTGACTACCCTGCCCTCCAGTGGGACTCTCCTGACCTCCCCTGGGATGAGGATCTGGTTGCAGGCTCTGACACCCGATGAGCCATGTCTCTTGCAACTCAGGGTCTCTCGTAAAACTGCAAAGCCTTCGTTATCCTGCTTGCTGAGTGAATCCACCCTTGGCACGAGGATGCCACAGGCTGGAAGGGGGGTTGGTAGGAGACAGCAGGCGATGAGCACAGGGGCAGCAGCAAGGAGCAGTGTTGTTCATGGCAGCAGAACAGCTCCTCATGCCAACAGTGCTTCTCAAAACGTGCCTTTATACTGTATAAGATTGATTTCAACTTCTAAGGCTGTGTTGCAAACCAGGTCAAGATTCTATGCTGGGCCACTCTGAAGTTTTCCCCTTTGTTTTGTTATTTTCCAAGTACGTACACATGCACCCAGATAAGCTTACCTCCTGACTGCCACACAGACTGACCATACTCTAGTGCCTGAGAAACATGCTTTTACATACAAATTGAGCTCTTGCTTCTTGAAATAGTCAGGCCATTTGGTGGAGATTTCTGTTGGTGTTCCTGCCTTGTGCAGACAAAGGAAGCATCCACAGGTGCCTCTGTGCTCCTGGCCTACAAGTGCTGCCTGAGTTACCAGCATCCTCTGCAAAGTCAGGTGGGCCTCCCTGCCTCAGGAACTCTGACAACTCCCACCTCCATCGTCTCTTACAGCACCTGTTTGCAGGTCACACCTTCTTCTGATTGCTGGGTCTGCACATGCAGCCAACCCTCCACTGCTGGTTTCCAGAGAAAAAATCATCCACCCACATCATGCCCTGTGTCAGTAACTCTGGGAGGATTCAGTGCACAAAGTACAGTCTTTCCAGGAATGGTTCTTATGCTTCATTAGAATGATGCCCAAGGTAGATTCTGGACCAATGGCTGGAAAATGCAGGAGGCAAGTCAAAGCCCAGCCCATAGACATTAACGCTGGGTGATGGCGTGACCCACAGAGGCCTTGGGTGACAGCAGACCTGCCACAGACTCTGCAGTCAGGGGTCCTGCCTCAGTCAAGGCGCCTGATGCCTCTGAGGCTCAGCTTCCTGTCCGTTCCAGGGCTACCCATGTGGTAGGTGTGTGTTAGGCTCACCATGAGCGTTTGATAAGGTCATATTCAGAGAGCTCCTGACAGGCACTCCTCGCCTCACTGCTCTCTCTTCCTCTCCCATTTTGGCGGCTTAACTCACGTGTTGGGAGTGTTCCAGGCTAGGCTGGTGGCACTTGGCAGGGCTTCTGGAAAGAGGTTCATCTGCTGAGTGGTTGGACAAGAATTCACTATGATGTATCATTTATTTAATTTTTAAAGGAACAAAACCTTTCTTCAAAAGAAAGCTTAGAAAGAAGCTCAGTATGTGGATCACTAAGATAGCTGCTCCACTTGGAGCTGAGGGGCAGCAGAGAAGCCTGTGGCCTGGTCATAGGTTCCCACCCCTGAGCCCCTGCTGAACCCCAGAGGCGTGGGTCCACAGCCTGAGTACCCCTGGGCTGGGTACTTTACATTCCTAAGGCACCTGGATGGCCTCACAGAAAGCATGGGGCAAGAAGTACTTGAGTGTGTGATAAGGATGTCCGGAGGTGCGACCCTGACCATGGATGTGCTTGTGTTCCAGGTGTCCCCGTGTGAGAGATGCCGCTGTGAAGCCAACGGGGAGGTGCTGTGTACAGTGTCCGCGTGTCCTCAGACCGAGTGTGTGGACCCCGTGTACGAGCCCGACCAGTGCTGCCCTATCTGCAAAAATGGTACGTGAAATGCACACCCCTGGCAGGGGGTGCCTCCCACCTGCCGCCTCCCCCACCCCGCCGGCCTGCACCGGTTCACGCTCCCTTCAAGGCCAGGGCAGATGTGTGGACGAGAGCTTTAGTCTGTGTCCGCACACCGTCACAGGCATGTGTACCTGACTCTGGCCCAGGGCATCCAGGAGCTGTTCTATAGCAGGCACACTCTGTCTTCCTGGTGTCAGCCCCGGGCTTTGTGGATGTTAAGTTCTTTAGGGAGAACTTCAATTTCCACCATTGAGGAGAGTCACTTATTTTAATTTAACATTGTACTTGCAAAGCAGTTTCTCTCGTTCCAAGACAAATCAAAAATGCTAGTTGGGCTCGTTTACTTTTCATTACTAAGTGAATTAAACTTCGAAGATAATTGGATATTTTTCGTAAGCAAATTGGGCAGAAAGAGAACCCTCTCTTATTCCCAGTGAGAGCTCATGGTAGATCAAAAGCCTTGTGTGCTTGATGAAAAAGTAATAGCAGGATGTCCTTGATCATTATGTATAATGGGAGAGTGTTTCCTCATCCTGAAATATACCTGAGGAAGCGCAGTTCTGGGCATTGCACTCTAAGAGGGTAT